CCTTCATCAAACCCGGAACTAATCGAGCCGTTTGTGCCAGGCTGGGGAGAAAGATATTGTAATAATGTAAATTATGTGAAAAATAATGTGTTTTTCGAACTACCAAGCATGGTAGCATGTTCTAGTACACCCCCAAAACAAAATCAAGACTTTGTAAAAGAGCATAATAGGACCCCTTAATGTCAATTATAACTTATGTCATCATACCAAAGCATAATGATTTTTCCTATGTGGCAGAATTGGACATCCATAAAAACTTACTAAAAAGATTAAATATTTAGTTTACCTGCATGTCATGTGACCATCAACTAACATCAAAGAATCGTAAACATGAATGTTAAATTTTTGAAATTAAATGAATTTAACAGGGTTCGTACACATTTTTAGACAATATTCATGACCTAAATGTTCCATTACTTTACAATAAGAATAAAAATCTGTTCAAATTATCATAGCTAAACTATGTTAACTAAAATGAATGACTATTAATGCTACTTGTTTGCTTTCTTGTTTTAGTAAGAAGTACAAGCTGCAACTGCGCCAGACGTTACTCCACATTTCACATATCACATCACTGAATATTATCATTTATTTAACTGTGTGGCCAGGATGGCCATTTTGGCGTCATTTTGTGTGTATTTTTGCTGCTTAAACACAACAAGCTGCACTTTAGAGCCCTGCATTTCAGCCCGAGCCCAACGGGCCCCGACTTATTTACGGCTTCGGGACAATTTTCACGTCATAGCTCAGACGCGGGCCGGGCATCGGGCTTGCTTCCTCCTTATTTTTATATTTTAGATATCCATCAATTATTATGGTGATGGAAAAAGATTTGCCGTGCTGGTGGAAACAACACGAGACCGTGCTACCGCGTCTGTCAAGAGCGGCTCGGATGGTGTTTAGTGTCCAGCAGCAGCAGCGAGTGCTGGAAGAGTTCCAGGTTAAAGCGCATGCAAAGCTTGCCGCAAAACCCCAGCAAGTAATTACCATGATGAATGTGTCGGGGCCAAGGGAAATAGAATATTCGCTGAGTTTCGGTTTATTTTTGTGAAGCGCTCCTGCTGACCGAGACGGCAGAAAGCGCATCCTGTTTGTTTTCTAAAAAAAAAGAAAAACGTATGCGGATACTGCGAGTGCACACAAATAAAAGTAGACCCTTAACAGTCCCGAATGATGTATTACTCTTACCTTTATGAGCAAAAACGCCAGTTATTTCCACAAAACGCAAGTGATCGTGCTGGCGACTCCGTGTCCTGCAAAGCACGCTTTAGCTTCTCTGCACAAATGATTGGATACGCGCCTAATGGCACACATTTATCTATTCTAGGTTAACCATTTAAACAAATATTGTGATATGCTTTTTTAAGCATTTTATATAGGCCTATAGATTTTGTGGTGATGATTTGAGAAGGCTATGATTAATTCACTGTCCGCCACTGGCCTCTTGGTCGTTACTTTAAAAAACAAAAACTTGAATTTAACAAACAAAAAAATTTTCTAAACATATTTCTAAATTAACGTAATAAAGAAACGAAAAAATATATAACCACTTTTGCCATTAAAAATGAAACTGAACTATTTTAATGGCTACAACAGCAGCTGTGTAATTGGGGAAGAGAGAAAGAGAAAAAAGACACCGGCTACAGTCGGACTCGGCCAGTAATTCTGATAATCTGTCGGATAAGGGCCGGACTAGGGCATATGTTTGAGGCCCGTGCAGGGTTCTGCTGAGCTTATTTGGTAGCAAACTCAATTTGGTACTGGCATGGTGGCTTTATATACGCACGAGCGCACTTTGGATGTGACTGCGCACCGCCTCTGCAGCGCGCGAGTACCGAATGGCTTAAAAAGACGT